AAGAGAAACATACTTACAGAATGACATCTTGGGTCTAGTCAGGGGCAGTTCATTTATTTCCCTACAGTCCCCAATCATTGAACCCAAGGCATTCACTCACACCAAGGATCCCAATTACAGAAGAGGTCCACTGGCCCAGCGTTGGTGATGTACAACTTTATTCCCAGCACTTGGGAGGCAGAGGCAGATGGAGGACAGCCTACCCTATAGAATGAGTTCCAGGACAGGTCCAATGCAATACAGAGAAACCCTGTCTCAAAACAAACAAACAAACAAACAAACAAAAAAAGCACACACACAAAAGAACTGCTGTTCCCAGAAGGAGGGCCTGTCTAGGGGGCTCTATGATTTAATTTCATGCTGGTTCATCTATTTCTGGTTTTCTTATCAGTTTTTGGTTTTGTTGTTTGAGCCCAGGCTGGTCTGAACCCTTTGGGTAGATGAATTTGATCTTGAACTTCTGGTCCTTCTGCCTCCATACCCTAAGTGCTGGATTATAGGCATGTACTGCACTGAGCTGTCTCTGGGGGAATAAGCAGAGAGTTAAAGTGACCTCCCCAGTGTGAAAGGAATGATGGACTAACTCAGTAGGGGTAGTAGGAGTGAGAAATACAGAGAGTTAAGTGTGATGGCTTTTCTTGGTTATCAGTATGACTGTATTTGGGACTACAATCCAGAAATGGAGGGCACATTTGTGATTCAGATCCTGAGGCAGGAAGACAAACATGTCTTTGTTCCAGGAAGACACACGCTTTTGATCTGGATCTTGAGGCAAGATGACAAAAGCCTTTGATCCAGATCTTGAGGCAGGAAGGCACACCTTCTGCGGGAAGCATATATAAGGACAATGAAAGAAAGAAAGTTCATTCATTCTGCCTGCTTGACCTCCCCTTACTTGTATACCATTCCTTCACTGGCACTGGAGTCTACTTCTTTGGAATTTCAGCTTGTTGAGACAGCCAGCTTTGTGGGACTGAGCAGCTACTAGATCATTGGACTTTCCATTCACAGCTAGCCGTTGTTGGACTTCAACCTGTAAGTCATTCCAATGAATTCCATATAGAGAGAGAGGGGTTGCGGAGAGGGAGGGAGGGAGGAAGGAAGGGAAGTAGGAAGAAGGGAGGGACAGAGGAGAGAAAGAGGGAGGGAGGAAGGGAAGGAGGGACAGAGAGGTTCATTCCATAGGCTCTGTCACTCTAGAGAACCCTGACTATTAAGGATTATTTCTCACAATCGTGAAAAGTTGATAGAGAAGGAGGTTTATGTATCCTGTGACTATCTGTGCTATGCTGAGGTATACAGTGGTGGCAATCCATTGGGAGCTATTGGTATGTTAGCCCCAGTGGATGGGAGCCTGGAAGAGGAAAATGGGAGAAAGGGACTGGATAGACAAGAGCACGGCACTGCTGGAGTGAAGTTGATGGAAAGAGGCTGGCAGAAGCATAGACACTATGATGTTATTCAGAAGACCAGCTCTGTCCCTAGTTGCCTAGCAACCGCTGTTGAGCAAGTGGTTGGGAAACAATATAGGGCCATCTAGACAATGGGATAAAGACCTTAGAGTGTGTGAGCACTGATCAGAATGTCACAGAGTGTTGTGAATCCTGACAACAGCCACTAGGCCTGTTACTTATATTCTCGTACCTCCTAATTGCTTTTGTCACACACAAAAATAGCATGACAATGACGCTCAAGATCTAGAAAACTGAGGATGAGGCTACCACATGACCTTATCATCAAACAAGACAAAAATGACCATTTTCATTGTTTCCATCCCAGGCTTCCTCTATGGAAATACATTTTACATTTGCATATCATTTTAGTATATGCGATCTTAAGTTGTTTAATTCTGACTTAAATAATCACAAAAACCTGTTTGATTTCAGGATAGTCCTCTCTGGCAATAGCATCAATCCACACCCAGCCCCTGTGCATGCCCCTAACCTAAAATGCAGCATCACTGCTTTTTAACTATTCTCCTCTTGTTCTAAAAACAAGTTTGCTTTTGATTTCTTACCCTGGTAAAGAAAGCACTGATATACATATCCTTCTGCAAAGAGCCTGCCTTGGGTTCAACGATTGGGGACTGTAGGGTACAAAGGGCCAAGGAAAATAAATGAACTGCCCCTGACTAGACCCAAGATGTCATTCTGTAAGTATGTTTCTCTTACTGGTTAATGAATAAAGCACTGATGGCCAATAGGAAAGCAAGATAGGCAGGACTAGGAGACAAAGAGGTTTCGGGGAGAGGTAGGTAGGAGATCCAAAATGTAGTACTGAGAAAGAACAACTATGGACCCTCTCTTCAATAAGATAAGACCACGTGGAAATACTTAGATTAATAGAAATGGGTTAATATTTAAGACAGAGCTAGCCAATAAGTAATGCTATTAACAGACCAACAGCTTTATATCTAATACAGCATCTCTGTGTGTTATTTGGGGCTGATGCAGCTGTGGGACCAGGCTGGCCAGAAAACCTGCTAATAGCAACCTAGGCCAAGGGAAAACTTCCTGACCCCTGCCTTGGCCCTAGGACCAGGGCTGGAAATCACATCAATCCCTGAACTTGCCCCAAGAGTCAGACTACCAAATCCCACCAATCCCTGAGCACAGAATTGCACCAGTCCCTGAGGTGCCTGAACTGGAAATGCTACCAATCCTTGAGCTTGCCCCAGAATCAAACCACAAAAATCCACCAAGCCCAAGCCACTCTGGAAACTTCTGCAACCCCCTAAGAAATCTTATATAAGGTCTGTACCCTGTTCATTTTGCTGCTGTTTCTCACCCAAGGCAGTGGTGTTCCTGGTTTCTTCCTTCACAATAAATCTAGTTTGAGTGCTATGACATTTCGTTTGAGTGAGATTTATTGTGTGATGTGACATTTTTGCAGTGAAGCTCAGCTGTAACAACTTCAGGAGGAGCAGAGCAGGGCAGAATTGTAACACTTTTGCTGAGGAAACTTTCCCCTAGAGGAATAAAGCTGTAACACTTCTCCACAGCAGAGCTGTAACAACTTCTCTGGGGCAATCCTCCCCTGCTCGAGCAGAGTTGTTACACTTGCATTGGGAAAACCTTTCCCTGAAGCAGGGCTGTAAACTGCTACACTTAAGGTGATTTTGTGGTATTCCTTGGCTCCTGATTGCCAGGATACCTTTTCATCCAAGCCGAATGCAGTTGCATCAAAAGACATGAATATTCTATGATTGTTATACTTGCCAAATTGCTTCCATCACAGGTGGTGACAGTTTTCTCATGACATAGAAATGTATTGATCTTAACACGATGGCTATGGTACTGCCATCGTTTTGCTACCTGGGTAACATATCATCAGGCACAACAGAAGTACCAAGAGACAGCGGTATCCATCAAGTACTGAAGGTACTGAAGAGTCTGACTGGAAAGGGAGGTGAGGAATGGGTTTAGACCATGGAAGTCTCTGGAAGGACTTCTTTCAACACTTAAAAAAAAGTAATAGGTTTTCTGTTCCCCAATAATAGATTTCTCTGATGAAGCAGTAAGCCAAATCAAGCCGAACTGAAAAAGTAAAAGAACAGATTTATTTTGAGCAAAGCAACTCCCAGGTGAGTCCTCCAGACCCCAGAGATTGAGGTAGGAGAAGGGGCAGGAGAAAATCACATGGCCAAATTAAATCAGGGCACTTATGCACCCTTAGTTGAGGGGTGATGATGTGTCTGCCACAAGCTGGGTTTATGCCCAAGTATGGTACATTTTAGATAGGGACTTGAGGGGAGGAGCTACTGTAGCCTCCAAGAAGTGCCAAGAATGCAGGACTGGGCTTTTGGGGGGGGGGGCTTTCCTTTGTTGGAGATACTCCAAGAAGGCCGGTGTTGGAGAGGCAGGCATGGGACTTTTTTGCAAGGACGAGTTGGAGATTGGACTCAAACAGTGTGAGCATGAATGTTTAGTGTGTCTGTGTGTATGAATGTGTACATTATGGCATACGTGTGGAATTCAGAGGACAGTTTAAAGGAGTCCGTTTTCTCTTATCATGGTGGCTCTTGGGGATCAAATTCAGGTCATCAGGCTTGGTAGCAAGTGCCTTTAGCCTACTGAACTACCTTACTGACTCCCTGAGAGGATTTGTTTCCAGTCACAGGTGAAATGTCCCAAAGGTTGGAAGTTAATGAAGAATGTGAAAATAGGGTATAGATAGCAGTGAGAGGACAGGAAGCGAAACCCAAGTCTTCACCTATGTTACTTCTGGACCCTCGGGTTGTAAAAGTTTTATTGGGATACTTTTTTGTTATTTTGCATTTGTCTTTTGAGTCAGAGCCTCAGGCTGGACTGGAACTCACGGCCTCTTCTGCATCAGTCTCTTGTGTGCATACACAGCTAAATTTACCATATTTTCTACAAGATTGTGTCAGTTTTTCATCTCTCCCCACCCCCGCCCCCATCAGCCCCATGGGGATCAGGAGTTCAGCCTGGGAGGAAGGAGGGAGAGACACAGGGAAAGAGGTGGAGAAGAAAAGAGCATATATTAAGGGATCAGATTAAATGGCCACCACTTAGTCTGTCAGTTGGCCTTTTTCCACTAATTTTTATGTATCTGGATCTCATGCAGCCACGCCATATCCTTTGGTTATAAAACTGCGCATTTGTGCACCAATTTTTTTTCTAAGACCTTACATTATTCATGTCTTTGAAAAAGAGAAATAAAACCCTCGGGAAGCTCCTTGCACAGCTTGGAGCTTTAACCCCTGCATTTCATCTTCCAGAATGCCAAGGACCCCCCCCCCCCTTACTAGCTGGGAAATCCCAACAAGCTCCTCTCGCCCCCCCCCACGCCTGTCTGGTTGCTATGGAGACAAACCTGATTTCACCAAGACTTACCAGATACTAGAAGCTGGCTGGCCAACCGCTGCAACAGGCTGTGGGTGGAAAGGAGGAGCCTGAGAAAGTGGCCTCTGGGCAGAGAGGCCCTGGACCCGCAGAGTCCCCCTGCTCTGTTGGCTCCGCCCCCATTACCCCCACCCACACTGGGTGTAGAAGTACTGCTGCAGTCCGGGCCACCACCCACTGCACTGTGACCCTGTAGGGACTTCGCCTCCCAGTCTCAGCAGCTGACCTGCCTACCGGTCTTCATCACCAATGGCTAAAGGTTCCTTTCTGCGCAAGCCCTGGGCTCCAGAGCAGATGTATTTCGACTCTGACCCTGAGTCCGAGGGTCTCTTCGATAAGCCGCCCCCGGAAGAGGGCCACACTGCCCGTGCACCCAAGTCGGCTGGCAGGAAATCTGGTCGGCGTGCAGGCGGGAGGGTTCCAGGCACCCCCAATGGACAGTCCCGGAAGGCCGCCGTGCGCCCTGAGCCCGAGGAAGAGGAGCTTCTGGTAGACGAGGGCTGCTACCTCGATCACTTCCCGCACCTCTCCATCTTCATCTACGCAGCCATCGCCTTCTCCATCACTTCCTGCATTTTCACCTATATCCATTTGCAGCTTGCCTAAGCAGCCAGGGTCGGACGGGGTAGGGTTAGGGGAGCGATTGGGGCAGGGAAACACGCAGTCTTTTGTTTTGGAGACGCGCTGCACCCCTTTCATCTAGCATTTGATGCTTTTCTTTCCTGTTGCTTTAACTGGTCATCAAAAGGTCCAAATTCGCTGCCGGCAATGAATAAGCAGTGCTGCTTACACCCACATTAAGTGAAATTAGTCTGCAGTGTTTATGATCCTGGATTGGATTGAACCCCATTTGTAATTAAAATGATGTCTCTGTAACCTACCACTTTGTGATGTGGGGGTCCAGTGTTTTTTGCGTTTGTAGAGCGCAGAATGAGTCCAAGCTTCCGCTGCTTAAAAAGGATGAACCAGACCCGAGCCCGCGGCCTCCCAGAGATGGTACCCAGGGGGTCAGTGCCCTAGCTTTACTGCTGGAGACCCATGCTGCTGCTGTGTCACACCAGAATGAGCCTGTTGCGTCTAGGAGCTGTTTCAGTCAGAACTCAGCACACCAAGCTGGTGGACCTGGGAGAGCAGCGGGTATGGCTGGAAGCTGGAGGTGAGTGGTGTTTGATAAGGTATGATTCTGCGCCCTCAGGGATTGAAGCTGACACAGGCTGGGCATTTTTTGCCCACTTTAGGTTTTTGTGACTACCAGAAGGACCCAAGGCCTGTAGTAAGCAGAACTGAGCACCAGAAAGCCAACGCTCAAGATAGATGTTTGGACTGTGTGGAACAGGAGACCACAGACAGACCTTCAGGGACTGAGGACTAGAATTCGTGGATTCCATGAGGAGACTGAGGGTCTTCCTATGCTGGGGTTCATGGGAGGACTATACAGAGAATTCTCAGGCGACTTCATTTCAGCCTGGAGGCCCCCTGAAGCTAAGGGACCAAGATTAAGGGGCTGGGATTGGGGACTGTCAATAATAAAGAGTTCCTTCTGGACCTGTCCTCTCATATTCAAAAAAATAAATACCAGAACTCACCTTTGTTGCAGGTTATTTGCCTACCCACTTTGTTTACTTGTAAATGCCAGTTGTTCAAATGCAGTCCTCCAACACTGTAATTGTCTGATGGAGTAAAGCACATTCACAGTCTTTGTATTCAGTTGTTCATTAACTTCCAACTATACGATGGCCCTTGCTAGACTTGCTATTCTGCTCTAGAGTTCACTCCCTTCTCTTTAAAACATTCCCATTATCCTGGTGAAGCTGACTTGATTATCCAGCATCCCTAGGTATAGCATATTTTCAAACCAAATAGCTATACAGCTTCCTCTGTGGTATCTATCACTATGTCCAGATTCCCATATCCACGAGCCCCTAACATCAGGTCTGCCACTGCTACATGGCCCCACCACCCACTGCTCCTCAGTATTTAGTCCCCACCAGGCTCCCTATTAAGGGGCTCCTGGCCTAACAAAGTCCCTCATAAGCTCTGGATCTGCCCCATGATTTACTCAGCTTGGGATTTTATAAACTGTTTTCCAATAAAAGAGCCTTCCTTCACAGTTCTGACCTTCCCTAATTCTGTGTCACCATGCGACTTGGTATCTTGCTTCTCTGCAGTTTAAGTGTCACAAGCCAGACATCCACTGTTCCCTTATGACAACCTATTTACAGTAATTCTCTTTAACCATCAATGGCAGTTGCCCCAAATTACATGTCCAAGGTATGATGATAGGTATCTTCAGTTTCTGTTTTTACCCTTGGACACTGGATCTAATACTATCCCTTAATATTGCTTCCCACTGAATCCCAATGGGCTCATGTTTTCCAAGCATTGTCTCTCACTTTACAGTTCTAGGTATAATTGTATCATCCCAACAGTAGATTCCTTCCTCTAGTCCCTAAACCAAATCATCCATTCCTCAATAGTTATTATTCCATGTTGTCTTGATACTTTTCTGATATCTAAATTCCCATTTTCTACCCCAAATTCAAGCATCTAGTTCTACCAATTATACCACTGTTAGACATACTACCTTTACAATATTAACATTGACTTCAATGTCTGGACTGGAAATGGCTTAGCCATTTAGAATGCTTGTTGCATATTAATTGGGGGGCTCATCCCTGGAAAGACTAATCCTCCCACCCTCCCTTCCTCTCACTCTCTCAGCATTCCTCAGTTGCCTGTAGTTCTGTCTGTGGGCAGTACCAAGAGATATTTCCCTATTTCCTGTTGTATGTGTATTGGTGTCGTCCTTGTTCAGATCTTGTTTAGGCAGCCATATTGTTGAGGTATTATGGGTGAATCTTATACACACAAACACTAAATAGACTCAGCAGGTTGTATTTGTGTGTGTTCAATAACAATTTAAGAAAAGGGCCATGAATTTGAGAAGAGGCATAAGAAGGGTTGGAGGGAGTAAAGAGGAGGAAATTAACTATATTTTAATAATAAAATTAGAACAAGCTGAGCAAGCCATAGAGTAAGCAGCATCCTTCTGTGGTCTCTGCCTCAGTTTCTGTCTCCAAGATTGAGTCCCTGCCCTGACTTAACCTCAGCAATAGACTATTACCTTGAAATATAAGAGGAAATAAACCTTTTCCTCCCATGACCCCAGACCAAACCAACCAACCAAATAACAAAAGAAGGCTTGCTGCTCTTCCAGATGACTGGAGTTGGATTCCCAGCACCAAGGGATCTGATGCCCTCTTCTGGCCTTCACAAGCACCAAACATATGGCATACAAAGGGATATAACTAAAAATTTAAGATCTCAAATATCCAGCCCGTCTGGGGTGTATCTCAATGCTATAAACTAAACCTGAGGTTCAATGCCCAGTACTGCAAAAAATAACCTATATTGTCCCTTACTTCTGAATGTGTTGTCCCACAAATAGTCTCCCTGCTGTTGTACTTCAGCCTGTAACAGTCACCCAGCATTGCCTTCCAAATTTACCCAGATCCAAGACTCGATTACTTTTCTTCCCACACTTCAATATTGTCTTGTTGCCCTGTGTTCCCTACATCTGCATATTTTCTTTAGTTCCATTGGGCTTCAATGTTTGGCCTGTATTTTCTTTTTTGGCTTTTCGAAACAAGGTTTCTGTGTTCCACTGCTGTTCTGGAATTCACTCTGTAGACAATGCTGGCCTTGAAGTCAGAGACACACCTACCTCTGTCTCCCAAGTGCTAGGTGACCTGTAATTTCTAATCACTGCTTTCCCATCATCCACATGTTGCTTTAGCATCATCACCTGTCTGGCCTACCTTCCTGTTAGGCAGTTCAGGTTTCCCACAGTAATCATGCATCTGACTACTTATTTTTTAGGTAACTGATTGCCTATAGTCTCAAAATATAACAATTTCAAGGTTGCATTCTCCAAAAAAAAAAATCAAGTCTTTCCCTGCCTATTAATAAGCAGCCTTTTAGATTTTGACCATAAAAACAAATCACCTATGAGCTGAAGAAATGACTCAGCAGCTAAGAACACTCAGGACTCTTTTTTTGTTGTTTTTCCCCAAGACACGGTTTCTCTGTGGCTTGGAGGCTATCCTGGAATTAGCTCTGTTGACCAGGCTGGTCTGGAACTCACAAAGATCCACCTGGCTTTGCCTCCTGAGTGCTGAGACTAAAGGCACTCCACCACTGCCCGGAGAACACTCAGGAGTCTTGCAGAGGACAGAGTTTCGGCTTCCATGACTCACATGGTGACTCCAGTTCTGGGGGATCTAACACTCACTCCATGCACATTTAGGGAAAACACTCATACATAAATCTTTATGTATGTTTTATGTTGCTCAAATTCTAGGAATGCAGAGTACTGTTCAGTATGAACCCTCTAGGTTCAATCCCTAGTACCAAAACTATGTATTTCTAAAATTCTAGACTCTTAGTGGTCTAGCTGGGATCACATATTTATGTTTAGCCTAAAGGGACAACTTGACAATATGAAAATAATTTCTCAAAGGAAAACTGAAGGGTTAAGGATGCTGTGGGCAGGTAAAACACAGCTATCTACTTCCAGCAAATCAAAATTAATCCAGATCCAATTGTTTGGGACAAGTGTCCTATTCTACTGAGTTGTCCAATATAGACACATGAAATCAATTCAGATTATGAAACAATATTATGCTTGAGGGAGATGTTAGAACTTTGCTATCTGGTACAGCACAAAATGCCTCAGATTTTATTTCCCTAACAGGTATTCTATACCCTTACCAGTAATTAATTCTGATTTTACTAGGTCCATGGCTGCTGTAAAAAACTCACTGACTCAAAACACCAGGTATTTATTTATTATCACAGCTGTGTAGGCTGGAAGTCTACAATGTGTCCACAGGACCACACAAATTCTAGAAACTCTAAGAATCTGTGCCCCACCTCTCTCACCTTATGACTGCAGTATTCTAAACTGTCTAGAATAACAGCTTATCTTTCATCTCAAATCTTCCTTTTGCCTTCCCTGGCCTTTGCTCTCTCCTTAGAGGTATATTTGGCATCAAATATACTAGGGCTAGGGCCCACCAAGATAATTCATGATGGTCTCTTCATCCTCAACTTGATTATACTTACAAAGACCCTCTTTTTAAACAAGGCAACACTTAAAGGAGACTGGCTTTTCTTGAAGTCTTGCTGGACTCCAAAGTTAACTGCTTACCACTACCAGGGCCTTGCTCTTGCAAAGAATTTGCTCTGGAAACAGAAACCTTTCTTCTGTACCAAAGCCAAAAGTGGCCTTTTTTACTATTTATTGCAACCAATTAGCAAGCTCCCAGTGTAAGCAAAGCTACCCATGAAAGTGTACTCTACTGGCTGGCCCTCATGTGATGACTGGTTAATAAAGGAATCAGTTGGTTTAACCCTTTGTTCAAGTTGTCTTCAGTCAGTCAAAAGGATTGAGATCACAAAGGGCTCATGACCAAAGTAGTAGAAGTATCTTTGGCTATGGCATCATTCTTTAAAAATCGCCCCCCCAAATAAGCCACAGCTGAATTAAGAATCTCCTCCCATATGTTAAACTGCAACGTAGCATATAAATACTTCAGGACAGTATTTATTACCGTCATAGAAATTAGTAAGTCCAAAGTTAAGGGAAATACCTTCTTGCTGTGTCTTCCCATGGTGGAGGCATTACATAGTGAAATCTGAGTGGCCTGAACTCATGTTTTTATTGGTAACCTACTCACTAAAAACTCCCCCCATTCCTTTGGCATTAATTAAAGTATAAGCACTCAATGTCAACATTGTATCATTAGGAAGTCAGT